TTCCCCTCGCCCCTCACCCCCCCTCAGAGGACCCGAATTAGAATCCCCTTATATACTCTACTCATGAACTTTTATATGTTAATAATTAATATAGGCAGAAAATATAGACCTTTCTACATTAATATATACTTAAATGGAAGAAAGTATGTCCCGATTTTGGAACAAGAAAACAAGAACGTTGACATTAGCAGGATCAAGACAACATCTTTTTGAAGTTACAGTATTTCCACAGGTAGAAAACCCTCTTTCAGATCCAGCTGATGATGCGGGTATACTGAGATACTCTTTTGCGAATAGAGCCAGTGCCGGGAATCTCTTTTCATTAATTTTTCACCATTGAAAAGGATCTGCATTATGGCTTAGCTGCGGTTCTGCAATATATCGCACGAATTGGGCTTAAACACTGTGTTGATTTGGTTGTATTTGAAAAAGAAAGTCTAAAGCACTCTCTATTAATGTTTCATTTTCAGTGTTTTCTGTGTCACTGGACATGTTGTGGAGCTTAGTAAGGACTGCGGCTTTTATTGCTTCTCTTGCTTCAATTTTTTCGGCGCGTAGATCTTTGTACCGTGGATCTAAGAATGAAGTGATCTGCCATGCATTAACAGTTGAATTTTCATGCCATTTCATATCGAACCATGTATCGAGTTCCTGATATACCACTTTTTTGAATTGACTGATCATATCATCATTTAATGAATCATAGGTTAGATGGTTCTCTAGCAGTGAATGAACAATCGGACGTACCATAGAGATGGACGAATTATGGGCACACAGTACTGTGGTTGCTATTTGTAAAGGCTTGAGCACATTGACAAAATTCTCCATGATATACCACTCGCGTTCTGCGATTTCTAAATTGTAAGCAATTCTTAATTTGGTTACTGATCTGTCAGCGAGGACACTTTCCACAGGACGTCTATTCTTCACGAGGCGTTCAAGCATATCAAATGTGGAGTTCCAACGTGTAGGAATGCTTTGTATTAATTTAAGCACAGGCATTTTGAAATTCTTTTGATTTGTTTTTAACGCTTCCCATGCAATATTTGAATGGCGGAAGTGTCCAACCACCTTTCTTGCCTTTTGACAAAATATAGCAATTTCTGCGATTTCCAATCCTTTTGATATTGCAAGCTGCATAGTATGTGCTGCACACGTTATTCCTTCATTTAATGTCAAATTCGATAAAGCTTTGACAGCATTCGTCATATTTATGGCATTGTCCGTAACGACGGTTGTAGTTTTTTCATTAATTTCCCATTCATTAAGAACTTCCTGTATTTTAGCAGTTATATTAATAGTCGTGTGGCGTTCTTCGATTTCTTTTGTTGTTAGAGTGTAAGATTTTATTTCCCAATTGTCCATTAAAAACTGACAAACCACTGTCATATACGCATCCTGAGTTCTTGAGCTCCAGAAATCAGAAATGCAAGTGACAGACGCGATCTTGGATATTTTAAGCTTAATTTTTTTCTTTCACATTATCATAAAGTAGATACAGCCTTTTCTTAAGAGTCTCAGAACAAGGTACCTGGATATAAATATAACAAAATGATGTAAAGTTTGAGATTGTATATACACATATAACGTAAGATATCTAAAAAAATGTCTTTACCGTATGCTTAAATCAATCTCTTTATATTAATATTTTTATTTTTAAATATATGTTTATATATTTTTCGAAAATTAGTTTGTAACTTCCAAACGTAGTTTTTATTAAACATTTTTATTAAACTTTTTAAATATTAATGTTAAAGTACATTCTATTCACTACCAATACTAAAGAACACATAGTATAGAAAAGACCATTTTTTGCCCACTAATGGAAAAGTGTAAAACATAGTGAATCTTATAGATTTTGACCTGCTAAAAACGATGGTGCTATTAGTTTTCATTGAAAATGCGAGGAACATCGTCAGTTTTCGAGTTAAAGTCCTATATTTTATCCTCTCTGTAATACATGATTTTCAATCGAGTGAATTATATCATGTGGAACTTAGTATGCGAAGGTTCCTAATCAAGAGACACGGTAGTGTCTCACGCAAAGTGCGCAGCGCGAGACCGCCTCGTGTCTTTACGCGCGTTGTTTATAAACATTATACGCGTTATTATTAAAGCTACGGTTCGTCAAGCAACGTATAATGTGGGGTCTACAATAGTGTAGCAGTCGTAGAATCTGAAATAATAGAAAATTGGTCAATCATAGTCGATTAATCTTCTTATATTCGTATAATCACGGCGACTAATCACGACTCTTAATCAAATCCTTCAAATAAATGAAAAAGTAGTCTAACATATGAATATATATCACCTTGTATGAAGGATCAACAACACTCATGAAATTACGAAATCCCTCAGATTCAGTGAATGAGATGGGTAGTTGGTTTGAAATTATAAGTCGTGCTAAAGCCAAATCAATTTTTTCTTTCTTTGTGCATTGCCTTTGCGTGGTACGTCTTACTATTTCCCGCGATGAACTTGCAGCCAGTATATTGGTCGTTATATTATTTTGATCAGAATCCTCACAGTCATGAGAATCTTGATCAGTATCGCCTTCATTTTCCCGACGTCTATGATAAATGAATAAAATTAAAGATAATAAAAAGGTAACGATTAAAAAATATATATCATATTTTAGTAGCAGCACGAAAAACATCGCCTACATATATTATATGCCCTACATATTGTATTATAGCAAGCTAATTCATAATATATATTCATAATCTGAAGAACTAAACTTACTGTCGCTTTTGATTATCTTTACCAGCGTCCATTAAATGAATAGATTTTAGATGCTTATTTAGACTGGAGGTTGATCCACCTGTCAAAAATACCGCATCACATATATTGCATGTCGCTGTAGTTTTGTCTGCAGAAGTCGTACAATATTGTCACACCCAACTTCTTTTCTTTGACATTGTATTGAACGCTACAAAACAGTCACTAAATGATGCGCCGATTTTTGTATTTTGAACTTTTTAATAATATGCCACACAGTGATACCTATATTTTCTAGATATATTATACAAAGTACCGCAATCAGTACTAGCAGCCGATTACAATGCTGCGGTTTTGCCCTCTTTCATTTTCATTAGCCTCCCCACAACTTTCTCTCTCTCCCTCCCTCTTTCCTTTTCCCCCCTCTCTCCCTCACCCTCTCTTTACATTCTCTTGCCATTTCATAATATCGCACACACAAACACACACACAAACACATACGCAAGAGCTCTCTCTCTCTCTCTCTCTCTCTCTCTCTCTCTCTCTCTCTCTC